GTGAATAAGGGAAAATAACGGCATGACTATAGTTCCTTGTCTATCCTTGCAGGAAGCTGCTGTTGTCCTTGGGCAGCCAGAAATTGCTTGCTCACCTGGATTTCCAGACAATGTTCTGTCTTTTGATGGGTTAAATGCAGATATCTGGCATTCACACATTCTGAGAGTCTTTCTGGGAAAGTTTAATATAGAAAAAAGATATCCAGGCATGGTGTATAAAAGTCTTTTTCACATCTTAGATGTGATTCTGTTGCAATGTGGCCTACATACCTCAGTAATCTCCTTGACAGTTTTTTCTTCTATTACGAAGTTTAGCTATGACTTTCTGTTAAATATTAATGTTGACTTCTTATGGTGTCTCATCTGCCTAAATTACAATTTGTCGTGCTGAGGATGTAATGTATAATATTTCTTAACTTTCTTCATGGTGTTATAGTTGTTATTGTCATAGGTAATGCAAAATCAAGATTAAACAAATAAGGAAAAAAAAGCTCCCATTCAAGTAAATAAAGGAAACCTTGAATGGCAGTATGATAACGAAGCCAACTGAAATGAAGTTTAGTTAAAGAACGTCTGGTGACACCAGCAGTTCTCTAGGGCCCCTGGTGTCTCCTGTTCAGTTGTACTGGGAGCTGTCACCTCTGCTGGCACTTAGAAGCATGTGTGAATGTATAACGAGGTGGGTACAGAGGGTAAAAGCAGCTTCCCAGTCTGAATCTAATGCTACATTTTAATGGACGAAGCCTTTCTGCAAAGAAAGTTGCAAGATTAAGTAGAAAGAAGAGGGGACAAAAAACAGAGAACCAGTTCAAAACTTAAAAATAAGGCTGAGGTGGGGTGCTGCTTGCAAATGATTTTTTGCAAATCATTGCAAAAAACCCTTTTCTGTATAAATTGCTTCAATGTTATCTTTAACTCACGGAAAGTTTAACTGGCTTGGAAAAAGGGCTGGATTAAAAACTGTTTGAAGTTTTTAAGGCCCAGAGAGAGGTGAATGGTGCCACAACCAGTTGGTTTCTGGTCACTGGTTGTGTTCCCAGGGCTCAGGGTTGGGCCCAATCCTGTTTAATATGTTCAATGACATGGAGTGCTCCTTCAGTAAGTTTTCAGGGGACACCAAGTTGGATGTGAGTGTTGATCTGCTGAACAGAACAGCTCTGCAGAGGCATCTGGACAGGCTGGATTAATAGCTCAAGGCCAATGGTATGAGATTCAAAACGGCCAAGCACTGAATCCTGTCCTTGGGCCACAACAACTCCATGCAGTGTTACAGGCTGGGGATGCAGTGGCTGGAAAGTGGCCCAGCAGCTGACCATGAGTCTGTATGTGCCCAGGTGGACAAGAAGGCCAGTGGTGTCCTGGCCTGTATCAGTGATAATGTGGCCAGCAGGAGCAGGACAATGATTGTCCCTCTGTACTTGGCACTGGTGAGGTCACACCTCAAGTCCTGTGTCCAGTTCTATGTCACTACAAGAAGGACATTGAGGTGCTGGAATGTGTCCAGAGAAGGTCAACAGAACTAGGGGACAGTGTACAGTGTAAGTCCTATGAGGAGTAGCTGAGGAAACTGAAGGTGTTCAGCCTGGAGAAAAGGAGGCTCAGGGGAAACGTATCACTCCCTACAACTCCCTTGGAAGAAGTTGTAGCCAGATGAGGGTCGGCCTCTTTTCCCAGGCAACCAGTGGCAGGAGAAGAGCCAAGCTGCACCAGAAGAGGTTCAAGTTGGACATCAGGAAGAATTTCTTCATTAAAAAGGTGTTTAAGCATTGGGATGGACTGCCTAGGGAGGTGGTGGAGACACTATCTGTGGGGCTGTCCAGTAAATGACTGGGTGTGACACTTGGTGTTATGGTCTAGTTGTCAAGGTGGTGATCAACCAAAGGTCAGACATGATAATCTTGAAAGTCTTTTCCAACCTAAATGATTCTGTAATTCACTGTGATTCTGTAAACACTTGTACATTCATCTATTCTTATCTTCATACTGATCTGTGCAAGTGGACTTCAAAATATATTTGCAAGAGGCCCAGGCATTGCTCTTACAGGAGTTATTGACAAGGATATTTTGGTACCTGTTTTCTCAAGCTGCTTTGCTGGTTCTGACATTTTCAGTTTTCTCCTTTTCTGCAGAACTACTACTGCTCCTCAGAGTTGTTGCACTGGCTGCCAGGTAAATTCAGGCTACTGTCAGCATGGAGACCAGCTGGTATATGAGTCAGAGGTAGGTTAAAACCTTTGATTCCTCTTTTAGCGCTAGGTATGCACTATCAACCTGTTCCTGCATATATGATAGGGGAGCTATGTGGGTCAGATGCCTTCTCACATCCCAGTCCTTTTTCTCCCCTGCAGTAAAATAAACTGTGGTGCACCTCCTTGATCACTAGCAGAGAATTGACTCCTTCAAGAGGCAGGGTAAACATTCAGCTACTGTTCTTAAAAGAATTTTCTAAAAGGTGCTTGTCTAGGTCTGACTTTGACACTGTATTCCTTACTCACCCAAAAGAGCCATAGTTAGTATGTGTCTCACAAATACATAGGAAGGAGGCTGTGTGGAGCAAGACAAAAAGCGTCTCTGGGTCTTGCTGTCCTCACTTCTGTTAAGAGGTGCCATATGCCTTGTTAAGTCCATGCTGAAATAAGTAGGCTGCAAAAAGTAGAACATTGCTAGAGGCAGGGAACAAACACTGATTCTGAAAAACTGAATACTGAGTGAACTCAAGGCAATACACAGAACGCTGACAGCTCTGCAAGGTGGTGCTCAGCAACAGCAAGCGGTGATTTCCATCACCAGCACACATTCTCATATATAACTAAGCACATTTTTGCTCACAAATCCTTGCAGTGCACTAACTGCAATCACTTCTTAGAGTCATTTCAAGGGAGTAAGGGAATACAGCAACTCATATTTAATCCTAAAATTACATGTTTTCTAGGATGGTGGTTTTTTAGATTTTTTTTTATTGTGTCATTTACTATGAAAATATCAGCTGAAAATGTCTAGAACTTAGGGGAATTTTTGCTTCTAACACTGATTTTAACATTTAACATGAAATGACTGCAGGGGCAATAGGTAACTAGTTGAAAAAAATGACAATTACAAGGGAAAGGCACATGCAAATGTCTTCAAAGGACAGTTGAGAAACATTTTGTTTTATCCCCATTTGTTTCTTTAACTGCCCACATTAAGGTACAGTAGAGTTTTGGACTTCAGTGCAGTGGTTATTATGTCAACAAAAATAATTTCCCTGGTGTTAGAATTTAGTCAGGGGTTATTCCATTATATAAATGTTCTGCAAATGTCATAGAACAAAGAGTATTCTTATCAAGCATGTCCATAAATCTCCAACTATCTAGTTCAGAGCATAAAACAAAAGGAAGCAAGAAAACCAACTCTAAACTTAAAACCAAGTAAAGTGAAAAAAATGCTATGAACCCTTGCAAGCTCCTCAGTTTGATAACCTAAAATGAAGCAATGATGCAATCAATGATCAACCACTAAAAAAAGAGGTTCTCAAAACTGCTTAGCCTTGGATCCTGCAGCTAAGTAATGGGTACCTCTGGGGAGTGCAGCTGGATTTTACAACTTTTGGCACATTTCCCTTGATAGAAGTGGGAGATTTTTTATCCTGCTTTTAAAATCTCTGCAAAGAATGTGGATACTACTTTTAGAAGCACCTGTATCCTGTTATATGCCAGCCTGACTTTAGTTTCAAAATGCCGAAATCTAATACTAAGATTGAGCACAGGCTCTCAAATCACATTAATCTGAAGGTTCTGTCTTATACTATTTTCATATTCATCTTAGTTAAACATAGATATAGCCATTGTCCTCCTTTCCCCAGATTATGCCGATCATTTAAAAATGGTATTTGCTATCCACCATGTATGACAAACCTATGGCTCATAACTGGTGGAAAATTTGAGAGGTGGCTGAACAACTTTGCATCTTGCAATTGGTGAGGATTTAAAAATAAAAATAATGGTATTTATGATAAAGAATAAAATTTCACTCCTCAGTCTTTTGAGGATTTCTTTGGAAACATAAAACAAACAAAAGGTTACTTGTATTGAACTAATGTTCCACTTCTGTCTTCTCTCCATTAAAAGAGATTCCTAAAATCTGGAAAAACTTGCCCCTCTTGCTCTAAGATACTGCCCCTGAAAGAAACGTAACCACATTGTTATTAAAATGGCATCAAGAATAGCTAAGTAATCTGTTCTTGGAAATTAGCTTTGCGTCTTTGTGTTATCTACAAATATACAAGATGAGAATGACAGTGGCTAGAGGTTCATTATATCTGGCAGTATGTCAGCCTTTTTGAGGCTATCATGTTTTAAACATTATTTTAGTATTACAAATCCCCATATTATGCATGAACAACTGTAGTTTACTTGGCATTGGAGAAGAGTTCATTCCTAGTAACAATGTTTGTATGTTTTAATTCACTTGTATAAAGAGTAAGATGACCATATTTGCCAAGGAGTCTGCAGAATGTATTATGCTCTTTATTTGGCCCAGTACACATTAACATTTTAACAGTAGCTTTGAAATTAATATCAGGGCTAACAAAACTGATTCTCTCTCTTCAAGGTAGAACTCAACTCCTCCATGCCAGCATTGACTAGTGGGTTGCCTTCCCTGTGTGAGAACCCGGGCTGTGTTACAGTAAACTGGTCCAGTGTGATATCACAGATATAAAAAATATTCCATTCAGTATCAAAACTAGGCACATGCCTTATATGAAGAGTAGATCGACAGAGTTGAGCGATTTTGCTCTCAACTATTCAGCTCCAGCCTTCTACATGAGGAGAAAAATATCTTATTTCTAATTAGTAACTACAAGGATCTAATTTGGGTTTTTATGGTAGTTAAAAGATGGGTGACATCACACTTGGGTCAGTATTGGTGGATATCTAAAAGTACAACCTCTCATTTATATTGCTTCAAAATGTACACAGTATAGATGTAGATTAAAAAAAAAAAAAAGCTACCAATTTTTTTTTGTTGTGTTGAACCAACTAGAAGGGAGGATGCAAAGTTTTACCAAATGAGATATATGGATACAAATTTCATTATAGAGTGTGGTTTAGACAAATGTGTCTTTTTCTTTAAGTATGTAAATCCTACACTGTAGGTTTTTTTTTCTTTTTCCTTTTGTAGCAGTAGAAAATGTTGAACAATTGTCCATGAGCATGAGCCAGTGGTTCATTGCTGATATCCCCAGAATGCCAATATTTGCAATGCAAACAGTTAGTACAATTTCCCAGTTCTATGAAAGGCCCTGACACATCTGCCTCAAGGTCTGGAGGCTCTGTTGTATAACCACAAATAGTCTTTCCATTTTCATATAACCTTTTGATACACTGACAGCTGCATTAAGCTGCTTCTGCCTAGCAATTCCAGGCTGTTTTAATTGGTTTTAATGCCACAGAAAAAGCACTGCTAGCAGAATACCATCAAATCATTTTCATATTGAACCTTCGTGGTCCAGAAACCTCCCCTTCAACCACAGCACCATTGTTTTTGCGAGGGACATACTCAAGGTCAATGCTGGTTTTGTGTTTGCCTTTCCCTCGGCTCCACACAAAAAGAAGAAGGAAACAAAATAAAACCACTCCAAGAAATGTGAAACAGCCCATAGCTGTGGACACCAGTATTGTCTTAAGATCCAGAGAGTAGCTGTTTGCATTAGTTCCGTTAGAACTTGTGTCGTTGGAGTCTGTCATATACATAGGGGTCCTGTTGGCATAAAGGAAACGATCTGAAGTAAACCCCTTTACTGTCAGGGAGGCCGAGTAGGTGTCATTTCCAGCTGCATTACTTGCAATACAGACATAGATCCCAGTGTCCTGGTCTTGGGCAAATCGGATCTCCAGGGTGCCGTCTCCCAGCACAGTGGCTCTACCATTTGATTTAGTTGTGATCAGCCTTTGACGTGGGGTAACCCAGGAGATGGTAGGCTGTGGGTCCCCGTCAGCATTGCACATCAGCTGCACTGTCTGTCCTTCCTCCACTACCAGGTACTGCAACTTCTTGTCTTGTATCTTGGGCTTCTTACAGGTGAAATAAAAGGAGAGAGCTGTGCTGTGAAAGTCTCTGAATGACCTCTCTCTGACACTGTCTGGGCCAGCACACATTGGTGGCTCGCCACCAAACTGCAAGGTGGGCTGCCGCTGTAAAATCCAAAGAAGACGACAGTCACAGGCCAGAGGGTTGTTGTTAATGCAGAGGACCTCAAGGCTTTTGGAGGAATGGAATACATTCTCTTCTAGGGTTTCTAACAGGTTTTGGGACACGTTAAGCACACGTAAGAATCGGAGCCCTTGGAAAGCATGTGGTTCAATAGTGCGCAGCTGTGCTCCCACCATGTGGAACTCCTGCAGGCGCACTAAATCTGACAGCATGCCTGCCTCGATGGTGCTGATGGGGTTGTAAGAGAGGTTGAGATGTGTCAGGTAAACCAGATGTTTAAAAGCAGAGTAAGGTACTGCAGACAGGTTGGTGTTTGTGATGGATAGAGAAGTCAGATTGAGACCGTACAGACTGTTGGCAGGCAGCATGTCCAAGAGGGGCCAGGCCTCTATCTGCAGGTCTTTCAGGCGAAACAGTCTTTTAAAGGCGTATGCCGGCAAAGCATTAATGTAGAGCTGTTTCAAATGCAGGCTGATGAGGTTGTGGAGGTGAGAAAGAGCTTCTGTTGGTACGGCTGTGAGGTTGCATCTCTCCAGGGTGAGCTGCTCCAGACTAAGTAGCCCACTGAAAGCCCTGTGTGATATATACACCAAATCATTGTCCCCAACCTCCAGGGATTTTAGGTTATGCAGATCTTGAAACATGTAGTCCAGCAAAATGACAATCTTGTTTTCACTTATATCAAGCTTTGTTAAGTTTGACAACCCAGTGAACACTCCAAGGGGGACCAGCTTTAGACGGTTTCCTTTCAGCCTCAAGGATCGCAAGTTGAAGAGATTGTTGAAAGCTCCAGGCTCAACATTGGAGACAATATTGTCGCTGAGGTCAATCTCCTCCAGCAATGGGTATGATGTGAATTCCTCAGGGTTAATGCTTTTCAGTCGGTTCTTGCTGAGGTCCAAGATTTTGGTCTCAATGGGAATGCCTTCTGGGATGGAGATCAGACGTCTTCGGTGACAGCTGACAGACTTGTTCTGTGCTGAGCATTCACAGCGGGCTGGGCAGCCCACAGTGGGACTTGTGAAGACAAGCAGCACAGCCAGACCCAGGAACAGCTGCCAGCATGACAGAGCTGTGTGACGCATGACTTCACTGATCTGGGCTAACCCTCCGTCACGGGCCTGTGGGGTGAGGATGGGAAAGGGGAGAAGTTAAGTCTGCAGAAGTAGAATAGTACCATTGCAAAGCAAATGCATACGTTTTCATATTGAGCAAATCAATAAAACCTATCGTGAATAGCAGGACCTACGTAAAAACTGATTTTACTTCAATATCATACGGTTAGTAAAGGATTTGTGTATCCAGCATTTTCCTCCAAATATTGGTGAAGACAAAACAGCTTCTCCTACTGTAAACAGTAAAAGACCTTTTAGTCTTTTCTCAGTCTTAGTAGGCTTCCTCAAGACAGTCCTACAATTAACCCAGAGATAGATACCATACACCATGCAGAGAGGACTAATACCATTTGTGATAAGTTTACAGCATTGGATTTCTGTGAGGTGATATGAAACTAAGCTTTCGCCTCCCATTAGTATTTTAAGGCAAACCTTAATGATGTATTATAATCAAGAAAAAGAGCTCCTTGACAATGAAAATATTCCTTTTATCATTTATTGCATATATTACAGATGTAAAGACATCAAGCTTGTTCATGCATACACATACACAATGGCTCAGATGAGGAAGGAAGAACTAGTGCATCTCTGATTAGAATTTGTAATAGGTCAAATTGATTCTTTGCTTTTATTGCACAGAGTTCTTTTGTGTGACTGTTTAGGACAAAGATCCAAGAAGGGTTTGCAGAATACATCTTTGTGCTTCCAAGACATACAAACTAGTTTTAGGAAGACAAAAACAAGGTAAGATGAGCTGTCTGTGTTTAAGCAGTGGAGTGTCCAAAGAAGGACTACAGATTTAATGAAAATCACAGTTTGTAAAGGATTTATTCATTCCCGCCTTCAGGTTAAAAATGAGGATACAAGAAGACAAAATACCTTCTACTAAATTAGCTACCCTTCTCCAAACAATGTCCTTTTCAGGTTTAGTCACCAGAGGCAAGAGACTTTTTCTAAGTCTACTTAGAAACTACTAAGTGAAGACAAAAAATAACCCATTTCAAAAGAGAAAGAAGAAAAGGATATAGGTGTTCATCAAATGAAGGTGTGTTTGAGATGTTCAGAGTAAAGCAAATGGCAAGCAAGGACCATAGAAGTGCCTTAACTTCGATGGTAGAGCCAACTTGATGAGGCTAAGATATAGTGCTAGAATACAAGCTTCATAATATTAATAAGCCTTATAATGGGCCTCAGGCTTGTGATGCCTTTTCTGCATTGTTTAATTTGGGCTTCATTTTAATTGTACTTGTAAAAATACTTACAGAATTCCCACCAGTAACTATCTTCTGGGTCTGCACCAATAACCATGACCCATCTGCTCCAATGCACAATGATTACCCAATAAGCCACCAACTTTTCTGTGACTTTAGGCTTTGAGGATCATCTGGCTACTGCTTAAGAAATTGGCAAATTGCATTTGAGTCAATTTTTTTTTTTTTTTGTCTATGTGCTGTCACATATATTGAAACATAAAAGAAATCCTCCCATACGCAGAGGATAAATATATTTAAACAAATATGGTAAAGCTGAATTGATGAGGCAATCAGACAGCTATTTGAGCAAATAAACTGTTGAAGCACATCAAAATAGTCCTGTGTAAATCACAGACTGATGAAAAAGAAAGTGTCACCAGTAACTCTGCTACAGCAACACTGCAATTCGCTGGTATACAACTTGGAACCTGATAACTCACCAAACCATCCTTCCTGACAGAGAAGAGTTGTACTGTCAGATTGTGGAAGATCAGAACAATGGAGATTCAAGATGCAAGAAAAGGAGAAGATATTTGGATCTCTTGATCTTATTGTAAGTAAAAAAATTCTAAACAGGAACTGTGAGGTTTGGATTGTATGCATTTGTACTGTTGTGACTGGACTGAGAAATAAACAGCAGTTGTGCTCTGATTGTTAAAAATGAAACTGAGTGAAAAAGCATTTATCTTGGAACTCCATATAAATTGTGTTCTTTTACTGACCAGACATGAATGATGCACACATTACTCCTCTCATAACTCTGTGGAAGAATTTCACTCTTGACTGATGTGGCTTTGTATTTCCATTTTTACACTTCTATGCAGAGACTATTAATGTGAGGCACATTGCATGCTGGTTTTGACATATAGACTGGAGACTGGATGAAAATTACTCTGTATTGTATGACCTATAAAAGCACATTTCCACTTTGTTCTGGAAGGACAACCTACTGAGATTGTTTCCCCCTTAAATTGTAGTCTTGCAAATAACTATTGCTAGTTATATCCAGCTGTGACAAAGGTTTTCAGAGATAAACTTCACTTCATTAGGCACTAACTTAAAACTGGAAACCAATAGGGGACTCTGAGTTAGGTGTTTTCAATGAATTTAGATCAGAGAGGCTTCTGGGTGCTCTGATCATTACTTTCAGAACTCAGTCTGTGAGGTTAGTGCTTTCATAGTGATACTTCTGTCACACAGGGATTTCATATATTTTATTTGCTAGACCTTTTAAACCTAGCTGGAGATAAGGTTACATTTTTTGCATAATGAAGATGAGGTCATGAGCCCTCCTGGAGTGTTTGGTTTAGATGGTGAAAATATGAAACACTTTTTGTAGTTATCCAATCCACCTGGTAACTAAAACTTCTGAGGAGTACGAAGTAGAAGGTGGAGAGTATAAAAGATTATAAAAGGCTTTTTTGAAAGTGGCTGGAATAGAGAAAAAACAATTCAAAAATTAACAGTAATCTTCTGGAAAGGTATGTGGACAGATAATGAGATAGATATATATTTATCTTTAAGGGTGGATGCATGTGTGTGTACACACTTGAAAGGAAGCAAGATTCAGGACTGAGATATAATCTGGAGTGGATACATTTCAGTAAGGACAAGTAATAAATTATATTAAATATCAAGTCAAAAACCCCAAACATTAGGTGGATCAATAAGTACAGGGTAGAAGAAAGTACAAATTAAATTTATTATTACAATTTCCATTGAGCCAGATTATACTACCATTCTTCCTGCTAACCAAATCTGTGACTACATCCTTCACTTTGAGCTGCTTTATGGAAAAATGACCTCATCTTCATTATGCAAAAAATGTAACCTTATCTCCAGCTAGGTTTAAAAGGTCTAGCAAATAAAATAAATGGGACAAATATGTGGGAATTCTGGGAGAAGCCTGGAGTGAATTTGACGATCTATTGCATATGGTCCCCATTTGAATTTAGTAAATATAAAGTTGTATTTTCAGGACTTGTCCAGTAACATCACTAGCTAGGCCTACCTTGTGCCTTCCATCTAAGAACAATTAGAAAGGATACAGTTTTATCTGTAACATACATTCCATGTCAGTGTGTTCACAATTATTTTTTAATATACATCCATTAATTAAAAATGCTACTTTAAAAAGAGAAATTATGCCATTAAAAGGTATTCTTCACTGCAAGATGATTTCTTGAAGTGAAAAATTATTTTCTGCATTTCTTTAGACTTGTGGGATGTTAATTAATTGGTGACTTTACTGGCACAGGGCTGAATTGTTAGTGTCAGTGTTCAACATGATGACTTTCATTCCTGTTTAAACAACCAGCACTCCATACTTTATCTTTGCCAGTGTAGGTATTCCCTCTTCACATCTGCAGCATTGTAATTTTTTGCTTCCATCTCTTCATTGTCATGCATATAAGACTGCAAGGTGTATGTATGCAGGTATGTATACACACACACACACATGAATTGTAAGCTAGAAGTATAGTCTTACTGATCTGTGATTGTACGTGCCTTGCAGTTTGAGAACAGTAGTCCTCTAAAATGATAGCTTGTTAGATGAAAATTCAAAAAACATAAATGATTATGAACTAAGAATTTTTCTATGTTTGAATGTGAATGACAACATATAAAATTGTTTTCCTAACCTTTCTGGGATATTTGTCATGCTTTGATAAACTCTGGGAAATGAAATATATGAATTAGTTGTTTATTAAAAATAAAAGTAAACTAATTACCTTCTTTTTGTCTTTCTCTGGCTCTGTTCTTTAAGTCCAAAGTTAAGAGTCAAGTTACTGTTGGCTGATACTCTTTTTCAAAAGAGGACCCTATTCAAAGTTTAGCTATGCAATTATGAAAGCTCATTAAAGTTATTAGTTAGTTGTTCTGTGTGATCTCACCCAAAACAGCCACTACCACTTTGAAATACAAATCAGTTTTTACAAAGTTCTGAAGATTTGAATCTTCCCTAAAGTGCTTTACAAGAATGTACAGTGCCCTGTAGCTTTTAAATTGAAAACCATAATTAAAAAAACAAAAAACAACCCAATGCTATCCTATCCAGTGCAATTCTAAATATCATCTATAGAAATGTGCCAAATCATGCATGTATTACATATTTTTTCACTTCTCTCTCTCCCTCAGACTAATTTTGAAGACTTTAGAGCTGAAAGTGGGAATGCATTTGACCACAGTCCTTTCATTGTCCCATCTGATGCTCCAGTATTGTATGGGACATAGCTTTAGCCAGAAAAGGGGAGAGTCACAAGATCTGTTTCTGTCATTAGCTGCATTATCATCACTTAATGCTCTGACTTGATAGTTTTTATCTCACCTTTCTCACTCCTTTTCTCAGACTTTCAGGCAAAAAACCACCTCAGTGGATCATATCAGAGATGACAATTTTGCCTGATGAGGACTTAGTAATTTACATTCTAAAATCCCCTTTACAAAAACATACTGTATTCAATAAATGTCGCATGAAAAAACAGACTTGTACTGATTATTCACTTAAATGCTACCAGGTAATCCTGAGAACCAGGTGAGCTACCTGTTTGGAAAATTTGCTGGGTTGACCCTGACTGGAAACAGAATGCCCACTGAGTCTGTTCTACCACTGCCCTCCTAAACAGGACAGGGCAGAAAAAAATATAAAAAAAAAGCTTCACACACTGAGATAAATCAGAGGGAGGACACTCATCAGTTACCATCACAAGCAAAACA